TTTGGTGCAGCTCTACAATTCCAGATTCCTGGTGGACATTTGTTATTCTGGCGTGCAACTCTAACTTTGGCGTCCTTTGGTGCAGCTCTACAATTCCAGATTCCTGGTGGACATTGGTTATTTTGTTTGGTAGTCTTGCTGTAATCACCTCGCTTTACCTTGATTTCCAACCTTGTACTATATTTGCAATTCTTTTTCTTGTGCACCAAAGGGCTGCCACAGACTTGAAAAATATACGTCGCGGCCAAGAAAATCGTGAGTAGCTGGAAGAACGACATTTAAAGATATTTGTAATACTGTATGTAAGCACTATTTAATTCTTCAAGGTCGTCTCAAGTGTAACCAAAGGATCACTGGTGAGATTAGGTTTTCTTGGCGCTTTTATATACCTACAAATGTTAACGATTTTACGAGAGATAACAATCTAAAAAGATTGACGTATTATTAATATCGAACTGTATCAAACTGTTTGTCTTCTTCACAGGATGATAGCTAGTTCGAAATGTTAAGAATGTCAAAACATTGGATTATCACTCTGTATTGTTCTGTTTATTTAAACTTGAATTTGCATTTACATTTTTAAAGAATTTCAATTATTTWATGTTTCGTATAGTTTAGATTGTTTGGGTGCAAAGAAGGGAAAAACACCARATTGTACCGTCTGTTAGGCTTGRATGATCTGAGTGATACTTTTGAAGAATTCACAACATCACGCATAGACCAGTAGAAGTCTTTTATTGAGAGCAAAAACGTTTATGAATAAGAGCACCGTCTTTAATTCGTTCTCTAGTTGTACAATATTTGTTTTGAAAATAAAAAAACATTGGAAATTGTTTGCGTTAATCTTTATTGCTATTTTTCATRATTATAATMTCGAAAAACATTGRCAAGTTTTTAAATCGCKGTGGTATKGATGATATTTTGATTTATTGACAATAATCACATGAGCGATCCTTTTTTTCGTTTTCATTCTTTCTTTCACATAAATAAAAGCAAAACGCTAATTGACATTTTTTTAGAATTTATCAGGAAATTTAATTTAAGTGATGAGCTAGTTCTATTTCCTATTGTTTGTAAACAAGCTGAACAAAATATTTTATCAATATAGCAATCACTAACTGACCTTGGAGTTGATGTACTTATCGTCAATAGAAAATGCCAATTTATTTMATTTTGTTGTAAAAATTAAATATCATTCGCAGGCTGAAAATACTAAGGTCTACAAAATAATGTTTAAAATCTACCAAATATTCAAAATTTAAAGCGGTATTTGTAGTTACTGTTTCATTTGGTAGACTTAGTTGGAGCTGGTTTACATCCCCATACACCAACCGGGCATGCAGAAGGTCCTTCTCGCTTGAATATTCGGTGGTATAATGTCTTTCTATCCATATTAAGTTTTCTGGTTTTAGACCTTTGACGTTTATAGGCCCATAAGATTGGAGGACAGTTGTTCTTCCGGCTTGGAATTGTACAGTCCATCGATGGAAGAGGACTTGTGAGAACGATTTTCAAACAGAGACARACTAACATCAACCGGTATACCATAATACTAGCATGCATCTAAATTAAAAAAAAATCATGTCAAAAGTTTTGGTTCCTTGCATATCTGRACGTTGTGATCAGTTCACTATATACAGTTCGCATTAGGAAGACTGAATTGGAAATTATGAGTATAGGAATTTTATGTTACTTTATAGTTTCTAGATTGATGTCGTTAATTACAATAAGTTATATACTCTTTTCTTAGCTTTTTGCGGTAGTTTACGTTTAAGTTTAAGTTGAAAAAAACGTGTTGCCGTAGTGAAATAGTACATTTTACTTTGTGGAAAAGGAATTTATAAAAAAGATCACTCAGTTCTGTTTTCATAATAAACAAGTCTTGTATTTAAGAGTATTTAGCGACGTTTACCTAATAATGAACTGTAGGCAAATGCTTTTCAAAAAGAAACGTCACGTTTGCAGAAGACTCCAGTTGAGTCTTCTGCATAGCGTATTTCAAGGCCGAAATGCATTGTTGGTATGTCACGCGTGTGGCGTTACATAATCACGCAATCACTCTGAAATAGTGAATAACTTTTTAGAGCTGGGATGACGATACTAAAACCAACAAACCATTTCGGTATTAGAATACACTATGCTTTTCACTATAGAACGTTTCCTGACTATAACTGTATTATCCTTTTGGAAGTGTCACAACCTATTTAAAATTGCTGTATCTTGTTCCATCGTTGTAGCCCAAGCTCTAGTTTAGTGTAGAAAGCATTCGAGRGCATAGCAAACTATAACTTGGTGACGACGAATTTTTCTGGGTTATGCAAAGTTCGAATACCTGCAGGACGCGCGCAAATTATTTGGTTATAGTTTAGTATGTCAAACAAGTTGCTTTTATTGCATGTCTTCACAAGTTCTAAAGTAACTTACCTCAAATCAGTAAACTGCGGTTACTTCTTTTGATGCTGTCTATATATTCTGCAAGTTAGGCTTTCAATAGACGCTTTGGCCAAGAATGCTGTGACCAGTTCACGGTCAGTCTTATCTAACTACTCACTGTGTGCGGTTTGGTGAAGTAGTAAAAAATAATGATTGAATAAACAATGCCACAACCCTGGGATAGGTCAAGGTCAAGGCCCATCTGAATGTTGTGCAAGAATAAGTTTTGATTTAAAAACATTTTGACTTGTCGCGTGAAGATGTCTGACAAAATTGCTGAAAGAAATGCTGCTCCTTTTGTTGTATCACGAAGTTCTGTTGACAATCGATTGACAAGGTCTTGTAGGCAATGTCGAGCAAAGCATCATACAAAATAGCATGACTGCGTATTTTTGGTAGAGTTGGTACTCTTCTGCGGTAATATACGCAGAATAAGTCCGCAGTATTCGGAAAAAGTATGCAACAGTGTCATTTTAATGGGCGGATCCAATGGGTGTGAATTTTTTTCAAGCGTTCAAAACTTGCGGACAAATTGATCCTATATTTGATGAAATAGACTTTCGGCATTGTTTCTTGAAAGGCTTGAAAAGTAATTTTAGTTTTAGATTAAAAGGCTGTCTACTTGCAAATAAAGAAATTATCCGGATACATTTCAAGGATTTCTAAAGGACTATTAAATTGAATGGATATAAATTGCAATTCCTATTAATTTTTTGGTATTCCAGCAGCTTATTATGTTTCTGTAGTTCTAGGGCGATTTTCTCTGAGAGGTCTGACCAACTTGACGATAATCTTCAAACCTGTTTTGACTGTCAGGTGGTTTTGACATAACAATATCAAAGTATTTCTTGCGGACAAAGGTCAACCAGTTTTGCTATTTATTTCAAAGTCCTTACTATTTTAAGATATGGTTAACTTCAGTCGATATGTTCAWAAGACTAAACAAAGAAAGCAAAGATCAGAAAGTGTCACTCATATCTGGCATGTAACTTCGCTAAACTGAACATGGGAAAAAATGAAAGAAAATAGAAATGAGAAGAAAATAAAGAGATTGTTACTGAAAAAAAAGAATGGTAAACGAAAAGAAAAGAAAAATTCGAGTAAAGATAAATTACAAACAATTCATCTTCTGGTCTTGGTTTTATTTTCAATCACTGTACTTCCTAAGTGTCAATATATCTTTTTCTTCTTCAACAGAAATGAGTTCAAAAATTTTCGTTTAAATTAATTGTGCGTATCTTATTGGGTACCCTGTGTAGTTTGTACAAGTTTTACACGTGACCTGTCTTCTTCAAGATGAGAACAGTTTTTTCAGGAAGTTTTTTTCCGCTTTTAACTATTTGATGCTTTGAATTTCATAATTAGGAAGTTCAATTCTCATTTCCTTAGTTATTTTTGACTTTTAAACTTCTCTTTTTGCATCCCCAAACTCCTGGCGGGCATTGTTGGTCGTCTTCAGACTCGACTTTTTCTCTTTTGCAKCCCCAGACTCCTGGAGGGCATTGCTGGTCGTCAGTCTTCCTTGCGATGACGTCTTTCTTGCAGCCCCAGACCCCTGGCGGACATTGTTGGTCGTTTTTGATTTCAATGCTGTCTTTCTTACAGCCCCAGACCCCTGGCGGACATTGCTGATCGACAGACCTTCGCACTATTTTCTTCTTCAGACTTCTTTTGCAGCCCCAGACCCCTGGCGGACATTGTTGGTCCTCTTTAATTTCAATACTGTCTTTCTTGCAGCCCCAGACTCCTGGCGGACATTGTTGTTCATCGTCAATTGATCGTTGTTGCTTTTCAGTCTTTTGACCTTTTTGCCACATATTAGGAAAGAATTTATTCAAACCACGCTTACAACCCCACACCCCTGGGGGACACTGTTGATCTTCTTTCTCTTCGCGGCGTTTGCAACCCCACACCCCTGGGGGACATTGTTGATTATCCTCTTTTATGGTAGATCGCTTGCAACCCCACACCCCTGGGGGACACTGTTGGTCTTCTTCTGTTAAGACTGATCGTTTGCAACCCCATACCCCTGGGGGGCATTGCTGATCTAAAGAGCGGCGCATTTGACTATAGGGTGATCCGCTGACCAGTTGTGGTGCTAGGACGGCAAGTGTGGAAAGAAGGACTAGAGATATCATTGTTCTGTGGAATAAAAAGATAGTTAGTCACAATAACAATCGCGGAGTGTTTCACAATAAACAGGAGTATACAGTGTTTGAAAAGTACATTTACGCTGAAAATTTTACTGTCAAGTCGCTGTGCATGTAGAGAAAAGAGGGCAGGCACAAAAAGAAATCTTATGTAATGGTTCTTATCCCAACGTATATTCGACCATTGAGAACAAAAAAGCTTTTAAAGAAAAGTTGAAGTGAAATGGATCTCTTTGATTATATCGCTTTTCTGAAAAACCTCACTTTTACCTTAAAAATGATCGTATTGTTAGATTAAGTTGAACGCTCCAGTGTATCGGCAATGAATCCTTGATAAATATAGCAAGATATCTGATATCCTTTAGTGTAGTATTGTACTTTGTATGATATTTCAAAAGAGCAGAATTGGTCTCGAAGTTAGGCTTCTGTCTTGGTCTACGCTTATCAGTACCTCTCCCAACGCTCAAATATGGTTCTTATAACCTCAACTATTTTTCATTGGAGGGTTTAAACGGACGAGCAAACAAAAAAATAACATATGTAATTGTTAATAAGAACTATGTATTTGATCGTGCAAGGAATATCTGACAAGGCAATTAACTAGAAGTCGCTGTGGTCTGGCGAAGGCGGTTTTATCGCTCATGTAAAGTATGTCTTAATTGGTTGGTGGATTTCGTGCCAGCGATCCCGTCAACTTTTGTTTGCTTGGCTTACGCCTGACTTATATTAAAACACCGAACATTAGAAAAAAATACAAAACACTTATCTAAAAAAAATAACCTTTATGGCGATGGAGAATCTCATCTTAAAATACGTAAATTTAGGCTACAGAATAATAGCCTGTACGCACACATTTTTCACTTTCAGGAAAAACTATCGGAGATTGTCAGAACAAAACGTTGATTGATAAAGCTATAAACACAATGAATTATTAATGGTTTGGTTGGCTATTTTTATTCTTTGCGTATAGTCACTTTTGTGGTAAAAGTTGTGAATCAAAAAGATAGGAGATGTTTATGATGTAAAGCTATGTTGGCTGTCTTAGACACCTGCTTTAAGGCGMGTACCAGGTGTGCGAGGAAGAGGTAGCCAAACATGTAGGCAGCTTCGAATAGGCTTATCAAGTTTAAGACTTTGGGATAAAAGGATTTTATGTGTATACGATATTATAGTTAATTCACGATTGAAACAATCAGCTTGAGAGTGAATACCCATCGTTTAGCTAAAGCTCCATATTAATCTATGACACAATTCATCAGTAGAAGTGCTCTGAATGCGGAAATTTGTTAACTCCATATGAAGTCTTAAGCCTTGAATTGTTCATTTTTGGTTTTGAAGATATTGATTTTGAAAAGTCTTGGTTTTTATTTAAATATTAGGAATAGTGGTAAAGCCAGAACTGTTTTTCAATAATCAAAGAAAAACCGAATATTTGCAGAGAATATTTCTGATTCGTTTGGAAATAATCTTTGGCTTAGGGTTGAAGTATTTCTACTTTCGTGCTTATCTCAAGACAAAGAATATCGGTTTTTGATTTGTGAGATATTTTTACCAGAAATAAAGACATTTTAAGCCAAAAACATATGCATAAGTGCTGGACTTTTAGCTGTGAGGCCCATCATCAATAGCTGGATAGAAAGATTCGCGATGTGCCAACATCTAAGTTCAGAAAAATTGAAAATATATTTCTGCTGGCTTATAACTTATTAATTTTTGATTATCGACAACATGATACCTACACTCAAATAAGARTAGACAAATATTGCAGACTGATAGGATTTAGCTAGCTGCATTTTTCAGGAATATTTCCGAGTTTAAAGGGTGTTGTTTGAAAGACGGTTGTCACCGATGAATACCTGTAACATAAAGTCGAATATCTTATCTTTTTATGTTAAGATTTTAGTTCTTTTCGTGGAAACAGTAACAAACTCTAGAGTGTATTACGATTGTTGAAGAATGTTTTCGAATGTCAAGAGCGTGTTTTAGKTTTATGCATTGTTCAGCTTTTCTATGGMCTTCATCGKACAATTTTCAGTGTTAATGGCCTTTAACCAACTATCATCAAATCTTACAGTATATCACAAGTTGTAAGTGATGGGGGTTTACTTCAACATAAGCGTTTCTTACCGTGTGGTTTGGTATTTGTTTGCATCATAAATTAAGAGCACTCTCCACCGAGATCAAACAATGTGTTTTCATCAATTCAAGCATTTTTGTATCTGTATTACTTATGCTTCAAAGTTAAAAGGAAATCACTTCTTAAGCTGTTTACAGGGACAATCCTTCTAAATTATTAGGATAAACATATTTTTCGTCGATTGCTTGAGGAACAAGTACAAGAATGTTCATGATATGGATATTGAATCTGATCTTCTTAGCCTTCTCYGATTGTATAAATCTTTTTTACAAAAAAGCGCAGAAATTGCCCTTTTATTTACCTGTTAGCCATAAGTCCACAAGTAATAGTTAAAATTCACATTCAAAACATATCAAAAGACGTTCATTTTTGTGATGAGATTCCTCTGCCCCATCTTCCATCAATTTTTGATTTGTGCGTCTGTCTCGACACATTCGGCCATTTTGGTTGCGCGTTCCTGATTTGATGAAATTTTTGAAAAATCTTAAATGATAATTGAAAATGAAATAGTACAAAATAATTGAAAACAATTTTGTCAAAGGATKTCAATAATATCAATAAAGCAAATTCACAATTAATGTAAACGAATACTTTTTTTCGTGAATTGCAGTTAAATCAGAGGGTGAAAGTCCTGTTTTACTCTCCTCAGAGATCTATGGTTTTGTATAAAGCCTCCTTGACTAATTAGAAAACAAACATCAAATATAAGGAAGCTTTTTACGTCCTTTTTCTGCCTGAACTTGACTAGCAGAATAGTGTAGGAATTTAGAAGTATTTTCAGTATTCTCTTTACTTTGTAACTTGTGAAACTTTCTMTAGAAGAATTTGAAAGTGATTGATATTTAATTGGTCAACTTTGAGKATTTTGATTGTAGACAACCTTCATTACTTTTCCTTGGCATTAAAATCAAACTTGAAAACATATTTTAAACTTCTAATATCTAAACGTCTTCACACGATATTTTTCTGTGAATTTCTGAAAGCACTTTCTGTTTTATTTCGCCAATTTTCAAGTATCGTCTTCGCTTATTTTCCTACAGAAGTAATTGTTTTTCTCATATCTTTTCACTGTTGGAAATTATGAATTAAGAACGTTCCTACTTTGCAGTGCAGTATCTTTTAATTGCTCTCATTTTTTGTCGAATCGAGATCCAAGTACTGTCACTTCACATGTGTACATAAAAGGTGGAAAACGACCACTTTATAAAAAATTAGCTCAATTGAAAATCAACATAAACATTTCATAAAGTTWTAATCGGTCAGTAGCATAAAACACGGGGAATTCATTTGGATAGTGTTTCATGGATAAAATGAAAACTTTTGTTAAGAAAAGAAACATAGACCTACCTTATGGTTTCTAAGTTATCTCGATGTTGGATGTTAGCAGCTCCTGGGCGAGGCGGACTGATAGGCTTGCCTCTTTCTTGTGTGCTAATGCTAAAGTGAAAGACCCTTATATAGCCAAGAACACCGGGTTTTTAATGCTGCATTAGTAGAATAGCATAGTGGGGGGACGGTGATTGACTGTCAATCTTAAAAGCCAATGAAAATACGTCTTGTGACGATATCTATTAACCACTGGCCAAGCAATCCCAAAGATTAACCCCTTCTTACATTCGCTGCGTAGTCTGATATATCTTATCAATTATCCTTCTTAACTTTTTACCCTCGTCAAAGTCCATGAAAAGCTTTAAAAATTGGATTTTATTTGATAGTTCGTCAATAGGAATGTCTTTAGTAGCTTTGTGTGCGTTTGCTCGTTTTCGCAAAGTGTAAACAAACCTTTTGACATTCTTCTGATTTCTTAGTGTTTGTTTTCCAGATATGATTGGTGCAGGATGGGTAATCAAAAAGCAATTTTATTAAAACCACAAATCAACGTATTTTAGATGTTAGGGGATCAGAAAAAACGAACTTGTTGACACAACAACTCCCAACACATGTCACTGGAAATTAGAGCCTACGAACGAAAGATTGATTTGAAATCAGAACAGGCAGCTGCAATGAATGTTCCTCTTCTGATTCATGTTGATAATGGGAAATAGTCGACCTGAGACTGATATCTGAAAATAAAACTGTAAAAGCCACGTATGAACACACTTGAATTGAATTCTTTACCAACAGAGACCAACAGAGAACACTTTTTTTGTACTCCAATGTAAAGGTTGAACTCTTTTCACACTGATCTCAGTAAGCGATATAGGTAAAATAGCGATACATACTTGTACAAAAGTAAATTATACTACCATCAAAWTGATAACTTTATGGATGGATAACTTTACTTAAATTCGTTGATAGTATATAAAAAAACACTTTATTGCAATATGCTTTTGAAAAGCTCAGAGGATAGCAAATGTTGATTGAATATGAAAGGATTATATCGTATTGAAGGGTATTATTTTATTTACATTTTTCAAGGCAACTCGAGGGCGTTATACGTTAAAAAAMCGAGGGRAAAATCACGAAAAAAMCCCTTATTCTTTAATTCTACTGCTTCTTTTTCAACAAAGTGGTATTGATTTTATGTAGAAATACAGAATATATCGAAGCAGGAAAAGCTAATAAGCGATGATTTTATAGTCGCCATAATGGTTTTCATTTTCACTGTGAACCGCTTGTAGCCAATCATCACCGCGCAATCTATTGAAAAGAAAGTTTGCCTTTTTGTATGATATTACACGACTATTTCAATGATTTGTATTTGCTCGTGATAATTATTTTAGAGCATTTTGGTGAAGAGGTATAAATTCGTGAGACTGAATAGACTGAGGTATAGTTACAACATAGTTTGCTGTGGTTACAATAAGAAAAAAAAACGAATGCGTGGCGAAAACCCAGTTTATCTCCAAAGATAATTCATACATAATTCAAGAAATGATTTAAAATAACCAACGTATTAACACATAATTAAAATTAATAATTTCTATTAACAAATTTCAAGTTAAATTAAAATCACTTTCAGTCAACGTGCAAAATAATTCAGATCAGGTACATAAAGAAAAGCTGCGATTTTTATTGAATTTACGATCGGAATATTCGATCTTATTATGGTATTGCAAATGCAAATGGACAATGAAAAATTTGTTAAATTCAGATATAATTCAGCGTTCTTTCTTTTGTGTTTTGTTAAAAATAGCGCCGGGAAAATCCCAATTATCTTACACAGAAGATTTGGATAGTTTTTGATTAATTTCCCAATTACATTAATATCATGACTCCCAATAAAGATAAATTTTAAAGAAACAGTTTATCTGTAGTGCAGAGTTTGCTGGCAGTGTGGGGTCAGTTCCTCAAACCCCCGTACTAAGATACTAAGTGCGCAACTCGCGACTCATACGCCCGCAGACCGATAATTTTGACACCCAGGTCTTGTCCTTCAGCCTTATTTTCCTGGTAAATGAAGAAAACCTTTCAATCTGATTAACTAAGACACCCTAGAGTGTAAAGATAATTCCACGTGCTTTCTAAATAGGAAGTAAAGTGGTTGCAWTGATAAGCAAAGCACAGAGTACTTAGTAAACGATTTCAAGAGAAAATCGTCGATAGTTTTCCTTCTTTCTATTTCAAGATTCTCGATTAATAATACTTGATAAATACATAAATAGAAAGGTCTAGTCTTACTTATAGCGATGATCATGATGTTTTTTTCCATTAMTCGGATCTTCGCGAGAAGTGTTTACGTTTACGTGGTGATACCGCTATCAGTTTTACGTAACCAACTAAAGGCACTATTGCATGTATCTATTACGTGTTGCGCAGGAATATTAAGTATTCAAAAGACTGATGACGCCAAGGGATGTAAGGCTTACCGCATTGATATGAAACCCTTACGTGTAGTAGCTGCGTAGGATCAACGCCTGTATTCTTAATTTGCGTCTGAAAGATTAATGCCTATTATAATTGCCTTCGATATAGGGGGGAYTATACGATGATTCGATTTTTTAAGTTCTGGTATAAATCAAAAACCTCGTTGATAACTTGCCCAGGACTATTCAAGAATTCTGTTAATGGTAATCTTTACGTAGGATCGTTACGTATACTTTCTTCCTCCTACGGAAGGCGTGGTAAGATTTAACCAGTACTGACTTGTAAACCAATTGGTAGGAACGCAACTKCCTCTRGTGGAGATTAATYCAACGAATATGTAGGGAATACTGGGTGCAATAATTCCCACCATAGTTGGGTCTATCTGAGTTCGTCTAATTGAGACAGAGTTTGTTTATCAGCTGAAAAGCTCTCCAGGTTCATATAGATGATCACAAGAGGCAAGAGAAAATAGCTCATTTTCTCTTACAAGAGGTTAGTTAGTGTATTGAGTCAACTATGAACTGCACCGGTCACAGTATTTCTCTCCCTTTTGACGATTGGTATTCCCAACAAATAACCACATCTTGTTGTATATGAAACTACTATATATAGCTTTATTCATACAAAATGAATTGTACAATAATTTTACTAATTTACTACTGGTACACCTACACTMAATATTCCTTGTTACCGCGAAAATCCTTGTACTACGATCACCTGTAAACCTTTCAGTTTGATTTAGACTTTTTAAAGCTTTCAATCAAGTGAAAAGCGATAGATGATTGGTTATTGACAAATCAGAAAACTAAAATTATAGTGTCTAAAAGAGTCAGGTTTCACGCGTTGAAAATGCCTAAATTGACGTAAACTACCGCAGTGGCAGTCAAAGCGTAAATTTTCTGATCATTGTAYGATTTGCTCGCACAAAAGCCTTGAATTTACTGTTTAGTGCAGTTGAATTTCATCATACAAGGACTTTGGCAGTACTCTTTGATCAMTACGCTAGAAGTCTGATGCTACAGATGATTGATCATCCTCGCTTCCCACAAGTCGCTTTAGACGCTGAAGGTGATGATATGCCCTTAAAMATAGACAAAMGACTATCAGTTAGTAAGATCCAAATGATAAAWGATCRGTTGTAGGTATGTCCCTGTTGTCTAGAGAATGGGAAAACCGCAYCATTTATTTATTTTTTGTCAGTTGGATGAGCAACATACCTTTGTAGCGATTCTTCGCCGTGAAACAGCTGTGACGATGTATCACTTTGATCGTCTRAAAACATTTGATTACATTATATTATTATCATGGATATCTGCCAATCAATGGTCCCCTCTCGTCATGACGTCACGGGGTGAGATGCATTATGGGATTGACAAAAGTCATGATGCACCGCGCCAAAAGAAACATGACGTCATGAATAACTTACCATTCAAGCTATCCACATCATCTGCTGGTATACGGTTTTTCTGYAAGGAAAAAGCCCGGTCGTTATCAAAAAGCTCTWGTATTAAAAAACTTAAGAATATCTAAGAACCTTGAAGTGTACTCTTCTGTTATCAACTGATCGAGGTGTCTCGTCATCATGATGGGCCATGTCCTGCATGGTGAATAACATATTCTTGAGAGCTTCTTTTGGACCAGGAGCTGATTCTCTACCATTTAGACCACTTAGGCGTGAAGAGGAATGATAAGAAGATGACTGGATCTACGAGACAATAATTAGTTAAAGAATACATTGACTAGTTGAACAATTGATTGGATGGTTGCWTGATTGATTGRATGATTGATTGATGAACTGAYTGATTGAATGATATTTTGGARAAGTAATTGTACATTGACTAKAMATGTYTTATTCAGGAAAATAAGGTTGTATAATGAGTCAACTTACTTTATTTTTGTTCTGGTCATAGCTGTCATCATCAATGTTCAAACAATCKTCCAAGAATGATGAAATAATATTGGTCTTGTCACCTGATACATGTCTTTTTCTAATGAAACTGTCTGGAGCTGTGGTGTCGTCATCTCTATTGCATTAATATAAGTTCAATACAAACTAAAATTAATACTTCATTTAACAGTTCTCTGTTCCATCTTGAAAAGGAAGCCTTGCCTTACCATCAAATTGAGATTACCAGGAAACTTTCAGCGTTAAAGCACACCAAGGACTATCTCACTTTGATGGAAATGCTCAGCTTTTTTTAAGTTGACACCATAAAATAGAGTATAAAGTTACAAATACATCTACAACAAGAGAAACTTACAGTTTCCAGAGATGATATCTCTTTGGCARTTCTTCTCTAACAGCAGCATATGGACTAGAAGATGCAAACACACTTGTAGGTGAGAATTTGTCTTCTTGGGTTCTTTCAATAGCTGTAGAATCCATTGTAACCTCCTCGTTATTTATCGCTGATGTCTTAGTATGCCTTTTACGAGCTATTGACTCCCTTTCTGATTCCGTATCTGAACCTACTATGGTATCACTACTGTCAGACACTGTTGTCAATGATGGACTGACATCAACTATTGGCATTGAAGGCTGTGTGACTAATACTTCGGTATCTGAAGTCACAATACTCAGCATATCATCATCATAACTTCGTCTAGACTTTCCATGACGTGATTTGGATCCTATTTTTCTCAAATCAGGCACTGTCTGGCTTCGTTTGTGTCTTCCCTGCTTTTGTGAGCTTCTTGGTGCTACTGGTGGTTTRTGGGRAACAGAAYGTTCCCTCTCAGTGCTTGTGAAAACRGGACGAGGGAGAGYCTTTTGAAGCCCTGGTGATCTTGTAGGAACATTTTGYATTACATATTCTCTTGGTGAACTGTCCTTCAAGTGTTCTCTTTCATYGATGATCTCTTTTCGTACCATCGGTGTTGACTCATAGRCYGGTTTCCCTGGACTGTAGCTATCATGAAATACTACYGACTTGTGATTTGGAGATTGTATCATASTTTTCCATGGATACATCGTTGTTGGTTCACGATACATTTTCTCCATACGTATACCAGTTGGTGATTTCCTCATTTCTCTGTCAGTATCTGAGGACTCGCCACCTTCCRSTAACTCTTTAGACTTCYGAGATTGTTTGACTGAAYGCTTARYKTGACTTGAAGGGGTTAGATTYCTTGTATCTCTTGYATGACTGCGATCGTAACTATGACTTTTAGATGGTGATTGCATGACAATAGGATGTTCATAATTTGACTGCGACCTAAATGGAGTTCTTTCTTCTTTTGGATAAATTTCTGTACTTTGAAAATTTGGTCGCCTAACTGGCATAGTGAATTGTGTTGGCCTGAGTTCTAATCGTTCYGGAGAACGGCTATGATCTCCTGACCTYAGTGGAGAGTAATCTTTATATCTACTAGGAGATGAATCCCTCTGTAGCTCCCCCCTGGATTKAGGAGGCATGCTATGATATCCCCTGGGGGAGAGGGGCTGRGAAATATGTTGAGGTGTATATGCAAGACTTTTTGATCGTGGAGARACTGATTGTTTATCACGAGTTCTTTCRCGAGGTCTAGATCGAGATTTCTCTGAACTTTTTCTAAGCTTTTTAGATGATTCTTTTATAATTCTGTTAACTTTAGAATCTTCATAAAATGTTYTGTGTAGATCTCCTCCCATATTAATTGGACGTTGACCATAAATTGGCTGAGAYACTAAGATATCAGTGTCCATACTAGCAGTGTCTGTCCATTCTTTTCTAGGAACAAGACTGTCTTTTACACGACTTATATGTGACTTTGGTGTTCTTGAYTTAGGTGAAGACTGTTTTAGTTCAGATAGTTTTAGTTCATTTGTTCCCTTTGTTGTATTCCTAGTCATCTTGTAAAGGTTAGAATCAGAATATGATTTCACAGTCGAGGTGAACTTTGGTTGCGGACTGAAAAAAAAAAAAAAAGCAAAATATAGACTTTACATGACTGTAGATAAAGTCTTGAGGTGAAAGAAAACAGCCTCCTACACAGGGATTGTTTTCTGTCTGTAAAAATATAGCCAATTTAACCAATATATAAAGAGAGTACTAGGAAAARTTCAGTTGCATGCATTGTCCAAAGAAACAAATTTTGTAATGTGGTCTGCCAAGCTGTGYCAGCTTGAAAGGCAGCCATGGTTTTGCATCAAGACAAGAGAATGGATTAGCTTGTGATGGAAGATGAAAAAACGTGGCTATACCATTCAAGATGACACTGAAACACTATAGTAACAGCCATAATATGTAAGAGATTTTGACACATTTACCTTCTAGATGAGCGTTTTGAAAGAGCAGTATTGTCAAGGTCCTCAACCCAGCTAGGGTATTCTTTTCCAAGATGAGAAACCCAACTAGGGTATTCAAAGTTACCACTAGATCTTTGAGGTGATTTTTKAACCACAGGACTTCTCATCTTTGGGGGAGAATATATATTTGACCTTGAATATTTATCTAAAAAGAAAAAAAGAAAGAATGTTAGGAACTGGATAAATGGAMGAAAAMYACTTCAACTGACTCTGAAGAAAATRAAGGCTACATAAAACTGGAATATTGAATGCTCACAAACAGTTTTTCAAAGMAAAAAGCTAAATTTTGTTTTGCTCTTCACACTTACTAAAGACAATACTGACAGATCAAAATCTTCACTGAGGTGCTTGATAAAAAATGTTKTACACCTGCGCAAAATTGCCWTTGCACGGAGGTTGGTATTGGTAATAATACATGAACTTTTACTCAGGTAAGTTCCTTGSTTGCCATATGATAGTTACTGCTAGGGATAACCATTGGTGCTTACCTTCAGGCTTTTCCCCTTTATAACTACTAAGTAAGATATCTGTCTCAACAGTCCCAGCATTGCTGTCAAGGTCTACAAGAGATGAACCAGCTGAAGGAAGAGATGATAGCTCATCAATATCACTTCTCCGCATTGGTGATGAATAATATGATGAATGGGATGATCTGGATCTTGTTTCTCTTGATTCTTTAGCTKTGAAGTTAAAAAGGAAAAAGGTGTAATTTAATTARTGGTCATTTTGGGGMATTGGGTTGCTATGACAACTGATTCAGTAACACAGTGTCAGTCCTGTGCAAATTTCCTGAAATTTAATCATGTGAATGATAGATTTCAAATAAAATATAATCAATACCTTGTAACCATTAATGATTTATTAGCATTTGAATAGCACTGAAATCAGCTTTAAAATGAATTAACTAGCTTTCTCTTAAATATTTTTGAATAGATTAAAAATCATARCACCTGTAAGCTATAACACAGAACGAAAACTAAAATTTGCATGAAGATACAAACTACGACTTCAAGCCGTTTAACGAGAAAACCAAGCATCTGAACATAATTCTCTAAACATTACACCAAATATACGAGTACAAAGTGCATAGCAACGAGGACGCCATCATGCATGTAGTCTATATATACACACCCTGGCACAAGTGATGAAAGAAAAAAAATATTGTAAACCTCTTTTAAAARATGATCGATTGTGATAGTCTTCTCGTTGAAAAATCCGAAAGAATATATTACAGATAAACTGCTTTTGTATGAACTTTTGAATAATACTAAACTAGGGGGAAATTGTCCAATAGCGGCTTGTAATTAAATATTTAAAGTCCCCTTTAACTCGGTTGTCACCTAAATTTMGTACGAAAATGTTGAGGTTAGGTATTGTATGAGCAGCAAAATATAATGAAAGAGTTTTAATTAAGGAGATCTTCATATCAMAKTCGTGTTTCGAGTCGGTTTTGAAGGTTTGTGGAAGCCAAACAATTGTTGTTTACATTTTGAAATGAATTCATGTTAAGATATAGGATACTAAAGTTGCTTGAGGCATATGTATAATTTGGTCAACAAAAGTTATTCCTTTACAAAAGATTGYGAAGAAAAACCCAATAAATAACAGAATGAGACGCTTTCTTTATCATAACATACAGAAAATCACACTTAAGTTGTTGATAAGGACGCTGAAGTGYCRGGATAACCGATCCGTATCATGTGCGATTTCCTTTCWCTTTTGAATGAAAATATTTTTACATCACACAACCTGGAAACATCATTTATMTAACRCCGTGAATTGTTTAGAATCCAAGATCWCTATTGCAKAAAATATRATCGCAATATCCCTGCAAACAAACGTTATTTTCTAGYAACTTTACCTTGGCCAAAGCCACGGGATAGCGCCGTACGACCGCCAAAAGGTTGAACAGAACTTTTGACGTTCTGATTATACGTTTGATTGACCCAAGCCACAAGATCGTCAACTTTCTGTCCGGGTGACTTGCCTGGACTCCCCATCAAGCTTCTTTCCAAGGAATCCATGAAATAAAACTTTGGTTTGGGTGCTAGCAAAKCGGACGTACGACGTGTGTACAAGYTGGTACGTTTCTCGTAAGCTGCTATRTAAGCGTCAAGTGCTTCACTGGCGSAATTAAAAACTTTCTCTTGTTGCGGAACGCGTTGTATGGTGTCCTTGACTGCATAGCTCCCTCCGACGCTACTTTTGGAGGGATAATTCATGTGCTTGTCCTTGATCAAATATTATCTTTCTACATACACGGAAAAACATAATCAATTCGAACTRTGGCGGTAAAACAATTGAATCWTTCAACAGCGCATGCGTGCGACTAATTATTCTTCTTTTGATTGACAAGGTACTCGATTTTTAGCGCGTCCTTGTCAAAAATGTTTAGAAATTTGTTAAAACAGATGATTTTTCAATTGTGTAAAGTGTAAAAGGTTTTGATCTCTAATGGATTMTGATGGTTACTAAACAATGTCAATAATCATACAACAAGATTTGCGCAAAGTGATCGTCAAAAATCACGGCTCCTTTACGCTACAATCAAAAAAACAATCAAACGAAAAATGATAGTCGAGTGCATTTTTTTTCTCGGAGTTTTGTCTATGATCTTTTCAATAAAGAACAATCTTTTTTTATGGTTTCCCTGTGTTTGTCCCAGAATGCATTTCAACTCGTCCCAAGCTTGTCCGCGCGTTCTTTCATTCTGGTCGTGTGTTGTGGTGTATTTGTCTGTATTCTTTACTTTCTTTCTGTGTTTCTATACCCGTGTTTTCATCGTTTTCCTCATGCTAGAAGCATCATGAAGAAATTGAGCAACATGACGTGAATGGAGGTTTCTCTACGTATGTTGAACACAAAGTTTTCAATCTGATATGCTCGCATGTCGAGACGATTTTCTACGTTGTGTTWGTAAATGTTTARTWGTGTGAGAATTGAGTGTGTGTGTTTCTTTTATCTTCAACTGTCGATGATGATTTTAAGGCGAATATGATTAAAATGATTCTGCTTACTTATCTGAGACAGTTAAACTCAAATGTAAAGAAGCTGTTATCTCTGATAGCAGTGATTTAAAATCCCAATAATAAGCTTCTGTAATAAATTTTRTATTTCACAATAATAATACAGTAATCAACAAAAATGATATTACGAAGATTTTCTACCATTTCTGTATTCCTTTGTTCCCATTGGTCAATACATTCAATGCGCCTGCGATCATACTGTACGGAGCGGGAAATGCAAAATCGTGTGGAGTTAGATTRTRGTGTTTAGATCCTTTCAACGGYCAAAACATATKAAATCCCTCATCATAACATCTCTGATACAATGACAAAAGTTGATGGAAAGGCYCATTTATGTTTCTTTGATGAAGGATCTTGGTTTCAGGTAATCTAGAGGGAATATTCGCATTGACTTGCGAACCGTTATGATTCGGAAAGTCCCCTCTCCCATGGAAGGCCAGCTCTCTCTCGCTTCRATGGCTTGATAACAACTCTAAGTAGTAGAAATGATTATGGAACTTAGCATCCCACATGAGATATACGACCATTTTGTGATCGCAATGAGAATATGCATTGATTTTGGCCACTTTAATTTATGATCCCTTATATTAGCTTACTGTTTATAAATCCATATGGTGTTTCTAATAGGGAAGGCTAATTACAGCCGAGAAGAAGCAATTTGGATTATTTGGAGAAGGTATTATTCCCAAGAAAGAAAAAGAAGAAGGCAAAAGAATGAATAAAATGAATACTCTCTGTACATCCATTCCCCACCCCTCCTCTCCTGTGGCATAACATTGAGAAATTCCCCTGTAGGGGTGGGGGGTGGGGAATTGATGTACACAGGATAGAAAAGTGGACTAGAAACATCAAAGAAAAATCAAATGCAATGTTTTGTAAACAAAAGCATAACTTTTTATCCTTTAACTAGAATGTGAGCCGCCAGTCAACCAGTACCACCAGTGCTGTTTTGATGAAGAACCCATGTTTTATAAAGTGACATTTATTAACTTTGAAACTAAGGAAGACAAGGTAATTGTGTAAATAATTATATGAATATAAGGCTTGAGTAGCTGAATCATGATTTGGTTTGTAGACCTCTTGCATGTGGCATCATCTGCAGGACAAAAGAAGAGATTTTTGCTCTGAGTCCCAAGTGTAGAGTCCATTGTTTTGTCTACCAGACTGAGCTACACTCCTATAAACTGCAGGGAGTCTATTGCATTCATTATTCATATACATGTGAAGCGCCTGTGAACTCAGAGGATATCGGCGCTATATAAATACCACATATTATTATATTATTATTATTATTTTGCTTTTATCATGGCGTTCATTGATTTTATCTTGGAAACAAGTGGCCTCACAATAATCATCTTTTTAGTTTGTATTTAAAAAAATAGTCGAGTTTGCTAGTAAAATGTTATTTTTTTTGCAGACATTTGACCATGTAATGAAGACCAATGGAGATAACTGTACATTGACTTCTGATACTCTCATTTTCCATACAGATGAGATGCTTACTGGGCATAAGGTGGGCTCCCTGTGGTAAATTTCCATGCAAAAAATATTGTTTTTGTCAACTAAAATTTCTTTATTGATAGTGTAATTTTTTCTTTTAAGGCTGAAGAGTATATTGCTAAGTTTTGCTCACAAGAACTGAATGGAAAAGAAGGAATTGTGTGCATTGGAGAGATGGAGATTCAGCTGCAGGAAGAAACAAGTGACACATGACACAACATAATGGGTGATTAATAATTATTATATATAATGGGACAGCATAGATAAATTAATGATTGAAAAAGAACTAATTATTCAAATATTATTATCTATGCTAAGTTATTGATAAACTGTCGATATTTTGAAAATACAAAACCAAAATTTATAGCTGCTTGTGAATATATTTCTACATTTGCGATCTTACAGTTTAATCAATTTATTTAAATTAGTCATTCTTGCAGAATACAATAATATTTCTGAATGGCAAAAAGTAACTATTTTAATTTTGTAGATAACCCTCTCAAATTTATGATAATTTATACTATACACTTATGATGACCAAAGAGTAGAAAAATTGCTCTAGATTGCAAACGCTAAATGCATAAGAAAGAACAATCCAAATAGTACTGCACTAATAGCATTAAATGGTGTTTAATTGGACAAAACAAAGGAATTGACATAAATTAGTAGTATTTAGTACTACAACTAATACATTGATTCAAACACAGGAATCCCATCTGATGAAAACCACTTTTCTCTGGTCTATATATATTATTCATAAATCTTTACACCTGCATATCAGACTGTTCTAAAAATATTGAAACAGGTGTATTCTGCCTTGAATAATTTCTGGTATTGTGTTCATCACGTCTCGTTTCAACCTTAGCATATATTGTATTTTCACTTATAATTGAAACAAGTCTGCAAAATTGATACAAAAATTTTTCTTTTTCTTTTTTCTAAAGTATTTCGTATTCTAGCATAATTAAAATAACAGTTAGTTAACYAAAAGAGAAGAAAMTTTTAWGTTAAAAATCTC